GCTCCTCTATCAAGTCCATCCCCATCGCTGGCCGCGATATCACGTACTTTGTACAGTCGCTTCTCAGGGACCGAGGCGAGCCCGATTCGTCCCTCAAGACGGCCCAGGAGATCAAAGAGGAGTACTGCTACGTTTGCCCCGACATCGTAAAGGAGTTTGCTCGCTTTGATCGCGACCGCAGCCGCTTCCTGAAGCACGTCGTGTCGCAGCCCGGCGGTCGCCAAGTCACGGTTGACGTCGGCTACGAGCGCTTCTTGGCCCCTGAGATCTTTTTCAACCCTGAGATCTATTCGTCCGACTTCCTGACGCCGTTGCCCGTGGTTGTCGACGGAGTGATCCAGTCGTCTCCGATTGATGTTCGCCGAGGGCTCTACAAGAATATTGTCCTCTCTGGCGGAAGCACTCTGTACAAAGACTTTGGCCGCAGACTACAGCGCGACATTAAGAAGTTGGTTGACGACAGAATCCACGCCAGCGAGGTGCGGAGTGGCGGAGCAAGGAGCGGAGGGCTCGAGGTTCAAGTCATCTCCCACAAGCGACAACGGCATGGGCCTTGGTTTGGAGGGAGCTTGCTTGGCCAGACGCCTGAATTTCGATCGTATTGTCATACTAAGGCAGAGGTATGCAGCTTCTTTTTACCTTGCCTCCTTGAAAGTTTCCTGCTGACAACCCCGACAGTACCAAGAGTATGGCCCAGGCATTGTGCGGAGATTTGCGCTCCTGGGAGGACCTGGCGGATCATAGGCGATATTTTGGTAAAAAAACGAGAGCGATTTTTACAGGAGCGCGGCAGCCTTCTTTTCAATACGAGACCAAAAAGAAATGGGAAACGAAGTTCATGGCGAAGTCTTTGTTGTATGCAGGTGACGAAGGTCATATTCAACGCGAACCAGACGTGCATTCGTACATATGTCGCAAACCCAATCGCACACATGTTCGTAACAGGTTGGTTGAGCTTCGGCCGCACCCGCGAAGATGGGTGGCCATTGCAATTGAGGTTTGAAGCCGGGCATATCCATGGAGCTTGTGGTTGCGAATCGGACGCTCTCGGGCCGATCCGAGGTGGCATGATCTTGGAGTCTGGGCTCGGCGGGCTCGGCGGGCTCGGCGGGCTCGGGCAATCCGTCGGCGGGCTCGGGCAATCCAACAGCGACTTCGGCTCAAGACCAGGATCATCAGATTCGTGCTGGGGCTTGCGCAAACACTTCCTAGGGATTGTTGAGATAAGACTTTGGAACCTACCCTACTGAGCGGTTGAAGTAAACGTGAACCAAACTAACATGGGAATATCTTGTAAAGCCTGCATGCAACCAACGGATTCGTTGCACGCGGAAATAAATACCGGGCAACCCCGAACTCCGCTCAGCCCCGCGTTTTGATAGCTCTGCGCGAACGGCCATGCTTGCATCCTGCCTACCTACCTGGTACGCATGGATGCCCTTCTCTCCGACAGAGGCTATGGATGCTTTCCAGGTTTCTGCTGGTCTCGAAACTACTAACCTACACACAAGTTGACTTCCATGCCTACCTAGACACCTGAGTTAGTGTATTCCACTTTGCGTAGCATGGCTCAGTCCTCGTCGTTGGTTGGGGGGGTGTTTTAGACTAGCTCAGAGACGCTGTAACCGGTCCGGAGGAAAGCAACGTGGTTGCCTAGGTAGAGTTACGTCGACTTCACCAGAGACGCCGGTTCAGCGGATATTCAGAGGCGCTTGGTGAGGGGCGACGCCACTTCTAACAACTAGAGAGAAAGAGAACTAAGAGGCTAGTTTGTCTCCAGAGACCTTATGTTTGAAACTCGTAGTTACAGGTGTAATGGCCGGACTAATGGTATAGGACAAAATACTTGAAACCTCAATCTGTATAGCATGAAAACGCTCAACTACTGACGTGCTATCGAAATTGATATGTGATTTAAAGACATTTAGGAGTTCGCCGCTACAGAGACTCCCAATGCAGCAACAACCTGAGTCGGCTCTCGAAGGCCATGACGCCGAACCCCGGTAGGGGTCTCGCCCTCCATCGACCCGATGCCACACACCCGTCGTCATGACATGCGGACAATCGGATGACCTGAATCCACAACCCGATATTTGGTTCCTGTAGATGGCCCGTTCCGTATCTCCGACCTACGGGGCACAAAACAAGGAAAGCCGTCCAAACTTCCCCTCTCCTGCTGCAGGCAAGTGTCTATAGGCCCGAGGTCCATTCCAGCTAGACATGCCAAGTTGCTACGGCCGGTGCTATTGCTGTTGCCCAAGGATAAACAGTACCGGTCTGTTGAAACTCCCTTTGCGAGCTGGATTCACTGAACCTGCAACTTGGGCACGCAGTCCTCCAAAAGCGGAAGACGGGCCCTCTACGGGGCTCAGAGGCATCTCTCCAATCGGAGACGAATGACGCGGGTGCAGGCTGCGGAAAGTGCGATGGCAGAGGTAGCTTACCTCAATCTGGATGGGGTGACCAAGGCTGAAGACCAGGTTTTGGTTTTGAGGTATCATGATTGCAATAGACCCCTCGCACCTTCCGATTCCTTTCGACCTAGGTAGGTAACCTGCCTTGATTTTACGATCATACGTTTTTTTGGCATCCAAAGCGGGTGCCAAGTACCCTGCAGGCGTCTTCCGCTGATCCTCACCCCACTCGCTAGCTGCCCCCAACCTATCTCCTGCGTGTCCGTGACCAACATGACGGGCTTCAGATCGCGCCCGTGGAATCGACTCCATCGGCCCATCGCTCATGCTCTTCTCCAAGGTTCTACTGTTCCAACATTCCAAGATGATGGATATAAAGCACCTCGAGGCGCTCCTGCCCCGAGCTCCCACCCCGAGCTCCCACCTCCTTCAAAGCAAACAGGCCACTTCATAAATGAGAAGAGCATCAATTCTTCCCTTATCTTTCTTCAAGAAACTTCCAATTACAATCGCAAAGTTATCCAGAATGGCTACCTTTGACATCCCAACCGAGCAATGGGCTCAGGTCGTCGAAAAGTCTGGCGGTCGTAAGTACCACCCCGTTGCTTCACCCAGACCCCTATCCCCTTTCCCTCTGACATAGAAGAGCTACGAGACGACAACATTGGCTATTTCGGGGCCGGCTTTGTCATGGCGCCGTGATGCTAACCCATCTTCATAGCCGCTGTCTACAAGAAGATTCCCGTTCAGAAGCCCGGACCTGATGAGGTACTCATCAATGTCAAGTACAGCGGAGTCTGCCACACCGACCTGCACGCCATGATGGGCGACTGGCCACTGGAGACCAAGATGCCACTTGTCGGCGGCCACGAGGGTGCCGGAGTGGTGGTAGCCAAGGGCGAGCTGGTCAAGGACGTTGAGCTCGGCGACCATGCCGGTATCAAGTGGCTGAATGGCAGCTGCCTGGCATGTAGCTTCTGCATGCAGGCCGACGAGCCCCTCTGCCCGCACGCGCTTCTCTCTGGCTACACTGTCGACGGCAGCTTCCAGCAGTACGCCATAGCCAAAGCAGCACACATTGCCCACCTCCCCAAAGATTTGGATCTCGAGGCCGTGGCCCCGGTCCTGTGCGCCGGCATCACCGTCTACAAAGGCCTGAAGGAGTCAGGGGCTCGCCCCGGACAATGGGTCGCCATCGTCGGCGCTGGAGGAGGCCTGGGAAACATGGCAATTCAATACGCCAAGGCCATGGGCCTGAACGCGGTTGCAATTGACGGCGGGGCCGAGAAAGGCGCCGCCTGCAAGGAGCTTGGCGCCGCTGCGTATGTCGACTTCCTTTCCACCTCAGACTTGGTCAAGGAGGTGAAGGCGGCCACGCCCGAAGGCCTCGGCCCGCACGCCGTGCTCTTGTTGGCGGTATCGGAGAAGCCTTTCCAGCAGGCAACAGAGTATGTGCGTAGCAGGGGCACCGTCGTCTGCATCGGTCTCCCCGCCAAGGCCTACCTCAAGGCGCCCGTATTCGACACGGTCGTGAGGATGATCACGATTAAGGGCAGCTACGTCGGCAACCGCCAGGACACGCAGGAGGCGATCGACTTTTACGCCCGCGGTATGATCAAGGCGCCGTTCAAGACAGTTGGCCTGAGCCAGCTCCAGGACATCTACACCATGATGCACGAAAACAGGGTCGTGGGCCGGTATGTCGTTGACACAAGCAAATAGAAGAAACGCTTGGGGGTCTTTTGTAGGGTATGAGGCTCTTTGGCTGTATAGAAAAAAACGGATTATGGACTAGTAATACGGGGTGTGAACGGAGTTATGGAACTGTCAATGTTAATGTATATATCTTGGGGCTACTTCCCTTGTTTCAAGGAATGAGTTTATCGACGAAATGAAAACGACTTCAATATATTCTTGGATACTGCAGACGGGCAACAATTTGTATTGGGTTGTCCACCGTTTTGAAGCGACTTGGTTACATGAGATTCTTGGGAAAAACTCGCAGTATGCAGAGTAGCACTATTTGATAGAAAAGGGGGGCGGGCAGTGTGATTCTCGGCATATTCGCCATATTCGGGATAGAGCATGATGTGTAAGTTAATAAAGATAAGGGAAAGGGTAAGTCAGCAACGCTAGCGGTAGGTGTACAACGTAACATAGACGCTGAAGCTAAAGAGAATGGCGATTAATAGGATGAGGGTTATTTTAGAGTACAGGTCCGACAAGCTCCCCGACTGTAAGGAAGGAAACTGCGCGGCTGAAGCTACCTAGTGATCTTGATCTGGATACTGGAGCTGGTTTGACAAGCGCCCCGGCTACCTACCTTAGTTATGAAGACGAAAGTCTTGGTAAATTGAGTCGAAACCCAAGGCCGGTTTGTAAAACCATTGAAGTGTCAGTATTATGTCATAATAGGAGATGCGGTACGGAACGAAGAAAGGGTCCGAAAGCTCTCTAATCACCCGCTCACCCCTATCTCCATATCTCCCCAGGTCCTACTGCATTTAATAGTTTGAAATTTTGTACTATTGCTGAGCTGACTCATAGGTTGTGGAACTGGGGTATTAACTTTATCAAAGATTGCCAGACAAGGTGGCCGAGTTGGTTAAGGCGTTGTGTTTGGGTCTAATGACTCCATCCGCAATGGGAAACCGCGCGAGTCCGAATCTCGTCCTTGTCAAGCTTACTTTTTGTAACCTTCTGCTATTCTCGTTTATTGTTTTCGGAGAACAGGAATTAACCCAGATAGAGTCGTTTAGAAAGGCCTTTAAAGGATATCTAAATAAAGAGATATACCTCTTAGATTCCTTATTATACGCTCCAAGAATTACTTCCTTCTTTTTAGAAATGAAGAGCTTTCGGGCATGGTCCCCACAGCCTGTGGGCCTCGATAAGTCTCGATACGATGACCTTCGTGATCCACTTCAGACCACTTCCTCTTTCTACAGCTCCGCAGTCCTCGCGATGACTTCCTTTTCCGTTTCTTTGCTTGTAATCTACATTAGTTTGGCTTACAATGCTGCCTTCCTTGCGTGAGGGCCCGGCCGTCGTAGGTAGGTAGTGATGTCTTCTTTTCACTATAGCACAGTTAGCAACTTACTAGCCAGCATCATTTCCTAATACAGGTTCTACCTAAGCAATAAGATAGGCATCCTAGACTCAGCATAAAGAGTTCGGAGATCTTCCGCTCCCTTTTGTGAAACCCTTTTAGGGCAAACCGCAAAGTCTAACAACACGACGACTATTTGTCCTCCATGCACATTATGCTGCAAGAGCGAGGGACCCATCGTCATCATCGTGGTCTTAAAAGCCCAACTTTACACGAGTATCCAGCAACACAGAACCTACCACTTGTCACACGAACAAGTTACCGAGGATGACTGTTCATGCCATTGCATCCAAACTCTCCCTCTTCTGATAAACATATATTTGTCGAACGCCAAGCTTCGCACTTTATGGAGACCTGAATAGTCTTATCCGTACAACCAATTGGAAGCAGGTACTCAGTTTGGCTCACTACGCCGCCCTGCAGCGAGGGCGTCGACTGTTTAGTCCTTTGGCTTTGTCGAGATGAAGAATGTTGGTTCGGTAGACCCGTAGTCCATTGTCGTGGAGTCAGTTCGTTGGAGTTAGTCAGGGTTCCGTCTTTTCCCTTAATTAGGTAACCACCCACGCCAGACTACAGTGGATCGAGTGCGCACAGTGGCCCGGGCGTCTAGCTCCCTGCGGGCCAGGAAGAAATATTGACGGGAACTCTAACCTCTCTCGACTTTAATATCCACCTATTTTCTAGGTTCACTTTAGAATACACAACAACAGCAGCACAAGAGGATAACTACCTCGGAAATAGACGCGAGGAACAGAGGCAGCAACAACAACAACACCATCATCCCACAAACTCTCCGACTATCTGCAGGTGACTATTGTCTTGTATCCCGCCATCCTCGAGACGCTTTGGCTGCCGCTAGAATGCCTCTCGACGATGATGACATCCCTACCACCGCGCCGGCAACAGCAGCGGCGAGCGCACAAGCTGGCGACGTCGAGGGCGGGTTAACGGCCGACGATGCCCTCGAGGAGGAGACGCAGGACTTTGTGGCCTTTGCATCGCTATTCCGCAAGGGCACGGGCATCTCGGCCCAGACCATCCGCCGGGGCGAGAAGGACTTTGAGTCACACGGCACGCGCGCGCAGGACAATGCCCTCGAGCAGAGTCGCGCCGCCATGCAGGACGTGCTGAGCTACACGCGCGTTCATACCCCCCAGAACTGGGTCCGCGGCTGGTACTTTCCGGACTGGTGGACCGACTGGCCCGAGGACGAGCACGACGACGAAGAGCCCAAAGACGGCAGGGAGCCTGCTGAGAAGAAGGCGAACGTCCATGTGCGCGACCGTGTCGTCATTGTCGAGAACACGTCCGTCTCGAGCATGAACCTCGGCCGCGCCATAACCGGACAGCCCAAGGACAAGCCGGGCAGGGGCAAGGACTGGCTCCTGCCCGAAGAAGCTCTCTATCTCATCGAACGGGGATCGCTGGACCTCTGGTGGCCTACCCGGGGTCTGGAAGACATATTTCCTGTCCAGCAGCCTGTCGTGAAGGACGCGGACGCGCCGAGCCCGGACGTCGCAGACGAAGTCGACGAGTACGAGAAGGGTGTGCCCCTCAGTGTCCAGGCCGCTTACGCGTTACTCATCGGCAACGATGGTGAGCGAGGCAAAGTCAGCCTACAAAAATTCCAAGTCTACTCAAATCTCAAGCGGGCGGGCTACAATGTTCTCCGGGCACCGCCCATCTACAAACAGCCGACGCCATCTACCGCACCGGCAATGACTCCAACTAGCACATGGGAGTGGCTATCGTCACTACTGCCGCGCAGCGAGCCGGGCCACAGGCCGTACGGGCCCCTGGTCCAGCCGGGTCTCTACCGATCCTATGTTCCAATCTATACTCAAATGGCTGTGATCCCGCGGCACAAACCCTCACCTGGTCCTTCCAGTCCGTGGCAGACGGAGGCGCCGTTTGCCATCCACTATCACATCTGGAAGTCGGCGCAGAAGTGGACCAAGACCCGACACCCTCCGCCCGACTTTTACCTTGCCGTGGTCGACGCGCAGGAATCTGCGGTGCCGTCCCTCGAGGAGATCACGGCGCTGATTGACGCCACGCCGCCGGCACCCGGGAAACCTGAGTGGGCTGGGCCGGGCCGGCTCTACGCGCGACTGAAGCACGGGCACAGAAACGTGCTGGTAGCCGTTGTCGACCATGGCATCATCAATTACATGCGGTTTGCTGAAGGCGCGTTTGGCGAAGAGCTCTTGTTCCATCGTTTCGATGGTAGGGGAGTTACCCGCGGAGGCAAGAGAGGCGGAGGGTACGGAGGAAGGGGAAGGGGCGGGAGGGGCGGCGCGGGCGGCAGAGGTGGCAGAGGTGGCGGAGGTGGCAGGGGGAGGCGGTAAGAGGCATGCCGTCATCCCAAGTCGACCCGGGTACTGTTATATCCGTAATCTCAAGATAGCATCATCAAAGGTAGGACAGCGTGCCCGCACAGCCAATTCGCTACCCCGTAAAACTCTCGACCACCATTCGCCCGCCTGCCCCGCGGAGAGAGAGAGGGAGAAACACAAAACCACAAGGACCAAGGCAGCCCACAAATGAGCAGCAAATGCAGCAATTGCACCAGCAGTACAAGTACAGTATAGTACATAGATTGTCTTGCAGGGAAGACCTTGGCCGGTTATGTTGCACTGCCGTCGAGACAAATTTGTTTCACGACGCACACACGAAAAAAAGAGGAAATGGAGAAAAGGGACACCCGCTAGCCGGGTGGCGCGACTGTGCTTGAGATATTATATCTGGCCACTCGGAGCCGGTTTCTACCCGCCCACCACCGCGAAGGACTTCGAGGAGAGATAAACTCGATCTCCCCCACGACGAAGCCGGGGAACGCCACCACCCCCTCGGAAAAAAAACCGGATAGTAATAGACGTGCGCGCGACATTTTACTGGCTTGAATGTCAATCTGTATTGTGCAAGTACATGTAGTTTATTTATTTACTTGCAAGGTTACGTTTGCACAAGACGCCGAAACCCCAAGCTTTCTTTTGCATGCTGCGGTTTAATTCACGATTCTGTCAGATTGACGAGGTCGTCGTCGTCTTGCGCATGTCTTTTTGCATACGTGGATAGGTTTCGGAGTATTCATGGGTTGAATGCCACCCTCCCGCTTCCGTTGATTATATAGACGCTATTATTACCCGGTACTTTGCCCTGCCTACCTTGCGTATATGAGAAGTTACAACACAACTGCAAAAAAAAAAAAAAACCGGAAAAGAGAATTGGCGCGAAAACGTCAGCAGCCACCAGTCAGCAGTAGAGCTAACAAAATCACATGATGGGCGGTGGCGGGCTGAGAAGGAGAGGCGGAGACTATAACACAATACAGTATATGTGTGCGCAGGTGAGGTAGTGGTAGTGTACGTACATGTACAGTACGGCACAGTATCATCTTATCAAAGACTTTGTCGCGGGCTCACGGCCACAGACGTGCGTGTATGTGCATGTGTGTCATCGGGTTTCTCTCTCTCTGTCTGTCTGTCTGTTCCTGGATTCTGAGCAGAGGGGGAAAAAAAAAGGAGAGAAACACGCAAACGGCTCTCCCGCCCCAAAACCTCTCCAGAGCCCAGATGCAGATCAATTCAGAAAGCAGCGCGTCGGGATTTTGCTGGGCTGAAGAGCGATTTCGATGATAGAACGCCTGATGTGTGCGAGTTGCGAAATGGTTGATTGATCGCCTGACGGGCTCTTTTTAGGCTGGGTTTTGTTCGCGGTTTGAGTTTCGCGTTTGCTGGCCAGTCAGCCTTCACCGCACACAGTGCGGACGGACTCCACTTCTTTCGAAGAGTGGGCCTGACACACTCCATCTCTCTTCTCGCTCTTCCCACTTTCAACTCATCAGCCTGCTTAACCTGCCTGCCCGCCTGCCTGCCTGCCTGCTGTCTCTTGCGCAATGCCATCGATGGCGTGGATTGTCTGATTTGATGTTCGCTCATCATCCTGCCTGTGGTGTAGCCGTAGCTGCCTACCTAGTGCTGACATAGCTGAGCTGAGGTACCTTGACCTACCTACGGAAATAATACCCACTGTACCGAATGTAATCGAGGACAACAAGACAACCTGGGGGAAAGAGAGATGCTGTAGAGAGTCCAAAGGGCGAAATAAAAAGACGTCAAGGTTACATTGCTAGCGGCGTAAATTGTCTTGTCACCATGGAATTAATCGCTCCTTGCGTCTCTTTGGCCGCCGCCCGCGCTCCCTCGTCCCCGTGCCTCGATAGTGTCCCCGACGGTGTGACGGAAACAGACAGTTGCGGAGAGGCGTGAGAGGGTAAAAAAAAGGGACTTGCATCACGCTGATGCAACAGTGGAAATGTTTCAGATGAGCTTTCGACTTTCGTCTCCCCGAACAGGCGTTCCGTGCATGAACAAGCACAGTGCGAAACGCTAGAGACCAACAGAGTAGAGCCGTGCTGTGAAAAAAAGATTGAAAGAGGAAAGTGTATTTTCCCCCCATTGGATTGGAGAGAAGATGGGGAGGAGGGAGGAACGACTTACCAAAGGGAGAGAGACAGAAATAGAAGGAAGGAAAATTTTTGTCCAAGCTGAGCTTCTAGTACTGAGTAA